AGGAGCAAGCGAGTTCTCTAAATATTTATTATAGGCCAACAGATCCTGCAGATAGTTAGGACGTTTCTTTTTGCTCTGTTCGTTTTTTGGTATTCTCATATATTAGTTGTTAAGAGAATTTAGCGGCTTTGGTTTCCAGTTCGATCGCCCCACGAATGGTACATCAGCTATTTCGTTTTGGGAACTGCTGCGCAATGAGTGATTATGAGATTTTTTCTTCTTGTAGATAATTGCTGCCTCCACTATTGTTAGATATGTAGCTCTTTTATGATGTTCGAAGCTGAGCTGCCGTGCTCTGTTTGCAGTTTTATTGAATTTATTTATATGTAAACATATGTCTATATTGAATGCTTTTTTTTCTCCTTATCTGTACTCCTGCATAGTGGTTCCACTTACTCAAAGCTAAAAATTTCATTGTGGAAAGTTTCCTGTTTTAGACCGATATTGTTTTTTTTTCAAATTTAAACACATTTTTCCCGAATCTCTATTTCTGTTGTCGGTTCCGAAAATGTCTCGAAAACTACACATTATTATTGGCCAAATTCTATATGCGATGGATTGGAGAGATTCTAATATATGTTTCGTGCAAATATCTAAAAATCTTGTTGCCTTTAAGATATTAGAAATTTTACTTGAATGAATCCCAGCAAATTTTTAAATAATTGGTTTAAGAAAAATCGAAATAATTTCAATGACAACGCTTACTACCTACGATATTCAGTACATATAATGTAGAGATTTCATTTTACTTGCGTATTTTCCGATAGTCACTGCCGGGCCACAATTTCGCACACACACAATTTCACAATTTCTTCCCAATATAATGTTAAACCAAATGTTTAAATTTTGTTTTCAAACTTTTACAACTCGTTTTTGGATCTTAAGAAAAATGAAAGGTTTTAACTCAATAACAGAGTTGAATGTTGAGCTTGAGACCAAAAAAGGGGTTCTTCTTAAATTTTCCAAGCTTCCTCTTTTTCTATCTGCGTATATACATTTCTTTTAAAGAAACTAATTAAGGTCAAGTAAAAAGTTCGTTCGGGTTTTATTTACAAGATGGCGAAAAAGCAGCCAAAGCGGCTGAAAAAATTCATTAATTAGTCACAGCTCGAGGAAGCGGCACAGATGGTGTCCAAAACAGGATTGATTGTCATGAAGGTTTTGCTGTGTGTTTGGTGGGATCGGCAAGGAATCATCTACCACGAGTTACTCCGCTATGGCCAAACGCCTGGCCCTCTACTGCCAACAAATGGACCGTTTGAAGTCAACATCCATCCAGAAGAGACCATCTTTGATCAATAGAGGCCGAATTGTGTTCCATCAGGACAACACCAGGCCACACATGTCTTTGATGACGCGCCAGAAGCTCCAGGAGCTCGCATGGGAGGTTCTAATGTATCCACTTTATAGTCCGGACCCGGCATCAAGTGATTACTATCTTTTCCTGTCCATGGCGAATGCGCTTAATGGTGAGAAGTTGGCCTCAAAAGAGGCCTGTGAAAATTGCCTCTCCAAGTTTTTGCCAATAGGGACACTGCCTTCTACGAAAGGGGCATCGCCCTCATTGGCAGCAAGTTTACGAACAAAACGGCGCATATTTGACTTAAATGGGACAAATATACACAAAGTTATGATATTTTGAAAAATCAATCAAAAACAGAACGAAATCTTTATATTGTCCAAATATTATACATATATTTTGAACAGAAACATTGAACTAAGATTACTAGTAACTTTTCTTCTTCTGATTTCTATGAATGAAAATCATAAAATTGGCTCGAGATGTAAATATTCGACCATAAATATATACATAAGCATATGTGAATTCATGGAATAATTGCTTTTTATGATGCACAGCAGGTGTGACTTATTTGGAAAAATAAATTATTTCTCTCATTTAAGAACAGAAAAAAATATTTATGTTACAAGATTTCCTATGAGCGCGAAGTTTTTATTTTATCCTATTATATTTTACTTTTTTTACGAAAAATCAATAATATAATAGTGGTTGCAAATTTAAATTAAGGACCCAAGAAATGTATCAGGTTTGTCATTGCCGGAAAATTTGATGCCAATTAGATATTTTTCATTTTTAAATAATCTAAAAGTCAAGACACATTTTTTTGTTTAGCACTCTGCGAAGCGATTCATTTGAATGTTGTATATATTTTCGGTGAAAATAATAAATAATTAATAGCGAAAAATTCATCAGAAAGAGCTTAAATCAAAAGCTTTCGTTATATAATTTTTTAACCATTTTATGCTTCCGGAGCAATTTTAAAATACTGCTTTGGGTTGACAGACTTATGAGCTTCGTAAATTGTTAAGAAAATTAAATATTGATTTTTTCCAAATTTGTTTAAAGAACCATTTTTTTTAATGATATCATAAAAGAAATACGGATCTCATTCTATTACTGCATTCATGACAGCAAATATTTTTTTTTGCCAAAAATACACTATATTGATCTTAATCGTAAACATTTTATATTAAAAATCTTAGAAGCAATACTTGTCGTCTACATACATAAAGAGATTTCTCTGAATTAGTCATTGGGAAACCAGCATTCTGGCTCTAGAGGTAAATCTGTATAAAGATTATACACTAGGCGTTTTCCTCGTTATCAAGGAAGCCCTAAACGATATTTTACCGATAGATAATCATGTGCGCACGACGAGAAATTAGACTTGGAGCGCACTAACTGGAACTGGAGAAATCTCTATTAGGAAACTGAACACCCTGAGTTGCATTAGCAGACACATTCGCCAAATCACCTCATAGGACCTCATAGGACGGAGTTCAATCTCCCTGCCTGTGGTGTCTCGCAGCTAAAATACAACTTTATAACCTAAAAAGCGCGGCCTGTGCAGTGATAGCATACGGTGACGGCATCGCCCTCATTGCGATGGGAAAACGATTTACAGCAGGAAAAGTGATCTACTCTAAAATGCGCTTTATATATGTATATCCCTCAAAGAGCGAAATGTTACTCTTCACAAGAAAATATAATCCAGCTGCTTTTAAGCAAGAGTACTAGGCAAACGTTCTACAGCTGGAAGGCAGCAATAGCTAAAAGATGGGGCCAAAAGGCACATATAGCTTATTGGCTATATCTAGCGGTAAGAAGACCCATATTATTTTATGAAATCTGAAGTCTGGTGGTCGGCACGAGACAAAGCTACGAACAGCTGCAAGCAGGTCAAATTACAGCGGGCAGTCTCCATACTCAGTACAGGGCACTGCCCTCCATGAATATGAAAGCACTTGAAATTTTCCTTAATTTTTTCCCGACAGACCTGCAAATTACAAGCGAGCTGTTACGGCGTTAAGACCAAATGCCATTCAGACTTGGAGGAGCCCCACATAGCACGACCGAATACTGTATTTTCCGTTACTTTTTTGTTCTGCAAAACACCTGCTAAGATCGGCCTTCACCAGTAAGGTCAATAGCAGATGACAGGGTGAAATCACATGTAACGTGAACAGCCAATTCTGGCCATTGATCGATACAAAAAGTGTTCACTTCTTCTAAACAGAACCTCCACGAGCTAATGTAGCCGGTTTAAATACCGGACGCATTTTAATGTGGACTCTTGGTAGAAAAATGAGCTACGACTTCTGTCGCTGGTGCAGAGACATTGACTGTCATTGCCACGACATAGTGCCCGAGGTAGCTCCCACTTTGACTGCCTCGCAGATATAGCGCCAGAAAGTACCAGTAAGATCGTGTTTTGCATTACGCAAATTATGCGGTTTTAGTATCTGGAAAGGTGAGTGAGATATCTTCTGTAGGCTCAGCCCCATAGGTGCCACCATTTTTGTCCCGTTAGCCTAAAATAACTAATTATCGTTTCATGGTCTTTCTGTGTTACTCAACATTTGGTGCGTGTCTTTGCTTAAATGGAAATTATTTGCCTCAATGTAGGCAATGTAACATATTATCTTACATATAGAAGGCAGTTGAATGTTGAATATTATGAATGAGAAAGGTTGTAGAAAAGGTTTTTGTGTTTTAATATATATAGTTTATATATTTTTTATATATTGTATATTACTTAAATTTTTTTTTCAAATTATTTCAGAAAACAATTTAGCAAATTTCTAAGCTCCTTTCCCTTACATTCTCTGCGGGGAATATTTGTATATTAAGCTTTAAAGTATTGAAGTATAAAAGGAACCCAATAGTAACAGTAGATTAATGCAACTAAAATTTACTTTTAAATACATAAACAAACAGCAAAAAACATCTAATTATGTATATTGTAGTAACAACTTTTTGTGATCAACAAACATTTTCGCTAACTATAAACTTGTTTACTAGGTTATGTAGTGAATATTGATGTGCTTACAACACAAAGAATGTTTACAACAAATGACCAGTGTTTGCAATGGAATTTGAGTGATTTCATTTGTGAAATACCGGCGAGACAATTGAGTTTTTAGACGTACACAACAGATGGTCAGGTGAGACATAAACATATATTTGGGGATTTATTTCAATGTTAGATGCAATTTTCTTTCTACGCCAACGCTGGTTTATGTACATACCTTTTGTGTTATTGTTTGATGAAATTATATTTAACGGTTTTGTATAAATTTAGAGATTTTGGATGCACTCAGTTTTTTATTTTATTATTTTATTATTTATTTTATATTATTTTTGTGTATTTTAGTGGTTTGTCATACTTACACACATACGCAGTCGTTAGACGCATATGTATGTATGTTCTTTGTTAAGGCCTAAAAGTTATTTTTATGATTCAATTTTATTGTTTTTTTTAGTTTTATTTACTTATCAATTTTTTATTTCATTTTATTTGCTTGTAGTAGTGTGTTTCATCCAACACAGCTCACTACTTTATTCATTAGTATTTTGATGACATTTTATTTTGATTTTGCATGTAAAATAAATTTTCTTTATTTCTTCTCTAATATTTAACTCTTTGCCTCTGATGACGGCCGGTAATGACGTTGCGTTTGCCGCACACCAGAACCACCAATACAACTAACACTAGATATATGTCTGTTCGCAGGAGTTGTGTCGCACGTGTTGAATGCCATGCAGTGAGCATGTCGAATAGCAACGTCGCGTCGCAAATCTCTGCAAAAATAATAAATAATTTCCAAATTTTCGTATTTTCGTATAATTTCGCATTTCATTGCACACAGCATACATAACGGGTATTGTGAATATATATGTACATATGTATGTAGGATTTTAGCAATTTATTTGCACTTTTGTTTTGTGTTTAAGGATTAATGGGTGTCAAGTTTGGGGTGCTACAAAATTTTATTTTTGTTTTTGTACAATTATTATTGGTATGCTGTGGTACATATTTGTCTTGCTATACACTCGGCACTCAAGTGTGTTGGTGTGAGTGAGTGTGCGTGCATACGAAAATTTTGTGTACTTTTCGGTAGTTTAAGTATTTTGAATTCTATATATATTATATGGTATGTACATAGGCTAGAGATGTAAGTGTTGGTAAATGCTTTAAGTGTTGTTGTTGTTTCTGCTGCTTGTTCCTGTGTTGCTGCTTGTGGTTTGGGTTTTGTTTTGAGTTGATCTTTTAGTAAGTTTTGCTTGTTGCTGCTTGACTTTAGTCTATTTTTTGTGGAAAAGTTTTAAATATTTTGTGCTGCTTTTGTTCCTTGAAAAAAAAAAAAAAAAAAAAAAAATTATGTAAATTTATATTATGGCCAGTAGTGAGTGTTTTCAGTTTAATTATTGGTCGATTTAGTCGTTTAAGAGCTCAGAGCACACTTTTAATAGCGCGTTTTGCCAGCGTTTTTTGGTTAAGTTACACCATTATCCATTGTTTGATCGATCCAGTTTCGCATCCGATTTTGGGCTCAAAATTTTAATTTCAATATAAATAAAAATATAAAAAAAACTCAACCCAAGTAGGCCCTACAGAAGTTATTTGATAAGTTTTAGCGAGTTCTTAGACCTCTAGCGCACTGTGTATGACCTTGGATTTTTATATTCATTGTTCTCTAAGTCATACAAAAGCAGGAGAGTAGACAGACTAACTAAGTAGAGCGTCACCCAGCGATTTCTATTAAGTTTATTATGCATGATTGTGTCTTTTTTTTTAATGAAAACTGCCTTTCAAGGTTTCCTACTAACACAGACTGCAGAGAGATGTAAAAATAAGGAAGCTTGACGCTGATCCAAGTAATCTTATTCCATTGGGTATTTCAAAATTGAACTTATGCATATATATTTTTGTCTCATTGGTGCAAAGTTCCATGCTGATTATGTAAGAGAGTTGAACGCGAAAAGAGACTATAGACTGCTGTTTCTTTATGTGCTCTAGCCAGAAGTGGCAAATCTGCTGTGCTGCCTTATGGTTGGCTATGAATTCAGACTCCTTCCTGGTACTAACTCCGATTTGTATTTGGCAGTAGTGCCTTTGATGCTTGGCCAATTCTGTTATCGCAAATATTCCTACGACTGGAGAACCAGATTGTGGAGTTGCCGAGTTCACCTGCCAGCCGGCTTAAAACTTTTCTACAACTGTTTGCGTTGCTGACGCTGCTAAGGGCCAATCAATGATGATGGAAATAATGTCCGATTACCCGACTATGATGATATTCGAATAGTGGAGCGGCAAATGGGTGAAAAGCTAACAAAGTACATGCACCAGCTTTCTGGAAGAATAAGGTCGGATGAAAACATACCCGATGATTGGAATTTGAGTGTGCTCTTTGCAAGCCATGAACAAGAGAACCACACGATCAGCGCCCAATACAGTGGGATAAGTCTCCTAAATATCACATATAAATTTCTGTCTTGTGCATAAAAATCTTTGCTCTAATTTCAAAGGGGCCTTCGGTACTAAACGATGTCTCAGACAGGGTGAGCTTTTATCGCGCAATTTCTTCAACTTGCAGCTCCAGAGTTAAAAAGATAAGTCACTATTCACTAACAAGAGTGTACAACTGCTGTTGTATGCTAATGACATAGATATCATAGGCCTTATCCATGAGTTCTATTTCTCTACACGTGGGCGAAATTAACGGGTCTGCATGTGAACTAGGACAAAATAAAATATCTGCAGTCATTGGTTCCCACTTCTGTGTTGGATGTCATAACTTCGAGATCGTAGATAATTTCGTCTATCTAGCGACCAGCATTTACTTACCCCAATAATAATGTATGCCTTGAAATCCAAAGCAGAATCACTCTAGCCAGCAGGTGCTACATTGGACTGAGTAGGCAATTGAAAAGTAAAGTCCTCTCTCTTGGCGTACGAAAACCAAACTCTACAAGACGGGTATGAGTCCTACTAAAAAGGAGGAAAAAGGAGGGAAAAGGAAGCGAAAAAGAAGTAGAAAAAGAAAAGGAAGTAAAAGATGATAAGAAGAGGATGAAGAAGAGGAAGTAGAAGTGGTAGTGGAAGCCGAAGTGGGAGAAAAATAGAAAAAAGAATGCGAGAAGAAGAGGAAATAGAAAAAGAAGAGGAAGATGTAGAGAAAGAGGAAGAGGAATAAGAAGAGGGAGAAGAAGATGAAGAAGAAGAGGAAGAAGAACAGGAAGTAGAAGTGGAAGAAGAAGAGGAGGAAAAAGAGGATGAAGAAGAGGAAGAAGAAGAGGGAGAAGAAGAAGAAGAAGAAGAGGAAGAAGAAGAGTAAGAAGAAGAGGAAGAAGAAGAGGAAGAAGAAGAGGAAGAAGAAGAGGAAAAAGGAGAGGAAGAAGAAGAGGAGGAAGAAGAGGAGGACGAAGAGGAAGAAAAAGAGGAAGAAGAAGAGAACAAAAGAAGAGAAAGAAGAAGCGGAAGAGAAGAGTAAGAAGCAAAGGGAGAGGAGGATGAAGGTGAAGAAGAAGAACACATAAGGTCCGCAATGCCGTTAGGTTTTTAGAGAGGAAGAGAGACCATAGATATGTTAAAAAATTTTAGAGAAGGAAAGAGACCATAAATAAGGTAAAAACTAAGCGGATGACGCATCTCCTTGCTCCTTAAAGTTTAACTTTTGGTTTCACGATATTATGTAAAATTACCGTGATTTTTAAATTACTCAAATCACAGCTGAGTTGTAAAAAAAAATTATTAAAAAATCAAAATTAATTAAAAGTTTTTATTAAGAAATTTCACTCAAGCCAAGGAAAAAAGTCATATAATAAAAAAATTTGATACTTTTTCCTTGAACTTCGGTTACCTTTCGTGGCACACAACTTTTCTTAATTGATTAAATATGAAAAGTATCGAGGAGTTCAGTATACTACAGTATCGAGGCAGCTGTGTGTGCTCGTAGATTTGGTATTTAATTCTTTTTTCGCTTGTTTGTGTTTTTTATTGGTATTTATTGCCAAAATACCTTTTCTCCTCCGCCATTACGCTGCAGCATGCCGTAGTCAACGAGACTCTTGCCTTCGTTGGAAAAATGGTTTGAGTTAAGAGTTAATATTTTTTTCTTTTTTTTTCCTTCTTCTCGTTGCCGCACAAATAACTTGGTAATGAATTATAAAACTCTGCTTCGACATTTGGCGCAATTAAAAAGTTTCAATTTACTCTTGCATATTTTTGTGACCCGCAACCCGAAATGCCGTGGTAAGCATCAAATTGCACAAAAAAAAAAACATTAAAATCAGAAATAAAAAATAAAATAAAATAAATTCGTTAAAACTTTATATCGATACAGTAGAGTGTGTAGTTAGTAGCCAGTGGCTCGGCGTTCTCTATAAGCGTAATGGTATTGAAACTTTTCCGCTATTTGGCATAGCGCGGAGAGAGCCGTCAATCCGAGCGGTGTGGTTGCTGTGTATGTCTGTGTGCGTATGTGTGCTAAGCTCTCTTATTGTTATTTATTTATTTAAGTGGTATTTATTGTTATTGTTTTTCTTGCGCATTATACCATTTCTTCTGCTTCGCCTTAGATTATAAGCCATCAGCGGTCGGTGCGGCGTGCGAGTTTGCGATTTTGCGAGTTTGCGAGTTTGCGAGCTGCGACCAGTCACAAGTGGCTTGTATTTCCGTTGATTACTTACTTGCTTTCATTGATGGCTGAGTGTGTGTATGAGTGTGTGTTTGTTTGCTTACACTGTGTGCGCTGGTTTTTGTTGTGCAATTTCAGTGGGATTGTCGTGGATTCGATAATTCATTTTGATTGTGTTGTAAATCATTTTCGGTTGGGTGAGTAGTTTGTTTCTATTAAATAAAACTTGTTTCGAGTGTTGTTAGTTTTTTTTTTCTTTTTTTCGGTGTGTTTTTTTGGCTTAATTATTTCTGATAGTTTGACACCAATTTTTTCTATTTCTTAACGTTAAATAAAGCCATGTTTTTATATTTGTTACATATTTTTAGTTGTTTGTATGTAATATTTTTTATGTTTGTTTATATAAAAGGGTAACTACGAGTATTTCAATAAAAGAAAATTAAAATTTAAAAACTAACTTAAAAATATTTTAAAGCTTTAGATCTAACAGTGGCTAACAGAAAATAAACCGCAATAAAAAACGTATAAATTGAAACGCAATAAAATTTGATTAAAAAATATTAACTTCAAATATGTATGTCTGTATAAGGCGACAGAAATCCGCTTCAAAACGTTTTTGGCACACCAATGACTTACCTGCGACTTGGAACGCATTGTCGGTTGGTATTTGCGGCGTATTTTACGTGGGCAGCAGACGCACAGCAGGCGCACAAAAGCTCTACAATGAGAATAGAAATGAAAAAATGTGTAAAAATAAATTGAAAAAGTGGAATTTGTAAATCAGCACGATTTCGAAATATTTGCGAGGCCAAAAGAATTGCGGTTTAACGAGTGACGGAAGAAATCGCTTTTAACGTTGCATAATTATAGTACAAAGACATGGCTATAATTTTTATTATACAGAAAGTAAGGATTTTTTTTCAATATATTTTTTAACTTTGACCTTTACTGCCTGTAAGGTATTTCTTAGTCCAATTTGGAATTTTTTTCTTTTACTCTAAAACATTTTCTTTGGAATTAAGAAATACAATTCACGTAGGAACTATTATTAATATTTGGTCCTGAGACCCTTATTTTCTATAACAGTTTTCATACGTTTTGGCATACTTTCAACAAATTTTTCAAATATTCCTTTCATTAGAAAAATTTTTTTCCCGAGCCATTTTTTAACAATTTTCGCAGTTTGCTTGAGATACCCATCTTGCTCAAAAATTATTTCCTGCTCTTGGTACACACACTGGTCAAGAAAATTGGGCAGATGGGTTTGCAAAATGCTCAAATAGTTTGGCATAATCCCGTCAATTTTGTAAAACGCTCCAACGTGCGAATATGTGGAGAAACCCCCCCTGTCATTATGTTGCCGCCTCCATGTTTCACGGTTTGCTTCATATGATGTCTTTGAAGCTTATCACCAGGTCTCCGCCAACAGTATTGCTTTCCATCCGATTGAAAACGATTAAACTTAAACTCGCCTGACCAGATAACACGTTTCAAGTCTTCTATGTCCAGTTCTTTATATTCCTTGGCGAATTTTAGCCGACCCTTAACATTTTTCTCGGATAAAGCTGGTTTTTTTCACTGCTGCGAAGTACCCTACCAAGCGCTCTTCTAACTGTCAATTGACTCACACCGTTAAAAGTTTTTTTTTATCATTTTAGACATCATAAATCGATCGTCAGAGTCTGTTAGAAGGCAACGGCGACCAATTAACTTCTTTTCAGCACAAAAATTTTGCCTTTTCTGCACCTCGACAACCACTGATTGACTAATTTGCAACTGTCGTTGAAAAAAGTCATCGCCTTGGCGTATGTGAAACCATGCTTTCTGACTACTAGGACAAGCTGAAATGCATGATAACAGGAGATGAGAGATGAGGTGACTTCTGGCTCTTCCAAAAATTCAAGATACCACTTCGAGGGCACCGTTTTGAGTCGATTGAAGAGATTAAATTTAAATCGGCGCGCTTTCTGAAGGCCATACCAGAACGTGGCTATTTGACGTGCTTCTATAATTGGAAAAAGCGTTGGCGTAAATGCATTGCATCAGCAGAGGACTATTTTGACGGCAACGAAATCGATGTAGAAGAATAAATAAAGATTTTTGTTTTTATATTATAAAAAAAATCACCTTACTTTTTGCCAACAGTAGTATGTATGTACAGTATGAGTATGTGGAAATTCACACTTTATGTGCTTCTTTAATTTGGTTTCGATAATTCCCAGCGCCAATTATAATTTCTTATATTAGTAAAAAATACTAAATTTCTTTTCCATATATCCTTTTCTGACAAATTAAATCTAAAAAATCTCGTATATATATAATATACCGGTGTACCAAGTTTGGCTGAAATATTTCAAAACTAAAGCCCAAGATGGACACAGCTATATCAACTCAACCGATATCGATTGGTAAATATTTTAATTTCGCTATCTCTTCTTTTTCTGGTACTACTTGAATGCATGAATTAAATATTTTTGTTATACAAGAAAGGAAAAGGGTAGACCCGACAGCTGGATCGGAGATCACCGCGCCACCTCATAAGACTTTTTCTGACAGGGATCGAACCAATGGATCCTGACCTCACATCAGCCATATAATATATTGTTGTATTATATAATTCATTGTTGTCGTTCATTTCTGTTTTGATCTATTGCTTATTCAAATTTTGACATCGTGTGTGTCCTTGCACACTTAATCAACTATTCTGTACAGCACTTGCACTGAAAATTTTCTTCCTAAATAATGATGCTCAAACGCAGTTACCAAAAAATTACGCATGAAATTCGGTTGTCTTCCTGACAGTTCGTTGATCGAGCTCGGCAATGCACTCGAACCGCCATCAAAATCAACCCGACTTCATTCACAGGAATTCAGCAATTTGCGCACAGCATTTTGCATAAAGAGAGATTTATAAATTCTGTTGGTCATAGAAGTGTAGCCTCAAGAGCCTTCTACGCAATTTTGCTTCGCGCAACGAACTAGAGATCGTCTTTACCGATGAGGGATCAAAGAACCAATACACTCTTAACGAGCGACTAACTGAAAGTAATATGAACGATGTGTGTTGGACTATTTTTTGTGGGAAGCGGTTAAAGAAAAGTGCTACATCAATCATCCCAAGACGAATCATGACTTGAAACATTGAAATAAAGCAGCGAGAGGGAAATTTTCAGTAGAAAAACAGAACAGAGTGTGCTACTGCATATTTTGGTTTCAGTCAAGTGAACAATAAATTCTTATTGAGTATGAGGAAAGAAGACTTAATTTAGGCGTTAAGGAATATTTAAGTATTTTTTTTGTAAGAGGTGAGAAAAGTTTACAATATAGAGTACAAAAATGAAAGTTAGGAAGGAGAGTCTACTACTCAACTAAACAGTTGTGGTTCAGTAAAGTTTATGGAGTATAAGAAAATTTTATTAAAATTTCTGAGATAGATATAAAGAATCGTACGGTCTTCAGATGAAAGAGGTATAGCAAGAGAAACATATTGAATCTTCAGAGCATCTGAAAATAAAGTCTTATTAGGGCGAACAAAGAATTACAGAAACCGAATGGAGAAGCAACCCAGAAACGTAGCAACGCGTGGGGAAATGATGCATTTTTCGGTAGTTAGTAGAAGGTGAACAAATTGTAGCGTTCATTTTTGGATTGATTTTGAAAGCATCATTATTGTTGTTTGTCAAGTTTCTTCTAAGGCTCAATAGATGGATTTAGATTTTTAATTGCTGCGTAAATTTTGCATTCGTGAGAATAGGGAAGAAACTTAGAAGTGAGGAAATATGATGACTTATCCTGGCTCTCCAGAGACAAACCAACTGGTATGCAAAAGTTCTGGTTAAATACTAGTATGTTGAAGATGAAATCATACCAGTTCGTTAATTGTAAAGAAGTCCACCAGTAACGGAAGAAATAATAATTTCCAACAACGTTTGTTGTTGTTATATCGACACACCGGAACTGAATTCCATTCTCTGCTCTGTCGCATTGAAGTCCGCAAAATGACATTCATCGTTAGATAGTCATGATAGCCGAGTGGCTGTAGCGCGTTAGGCTCCCGGTTCGAGTTCCGTTAGAGGCAAATTAATTTTTTTTTTGCTTTTTGGTGAACCAAAAATTTTCACCACTACGCTATACGTATATTGTTGTTATTTTAGTACACCACTTCTGAGCTTCAGTTCCTAAGAAAATCTGTCTGAAAGGGACCAGATTTGCGAGAATTAAAACCACAACATGTCCAATCGAACTAGTATACAACTAGTATGAAGCTGATGTATATTAGGACGATTGCCAGTTCGTAGGACATCGCCGTGTTAAAAATACCAGTTGCTTACATGGAAAATGTATGAGGATGAACTAGTTGGTGTAAATATGTTAACTAGTGGGGTCCTTGTATTTTCACCTGCAGGGTGGTGAACGAAATATACAGCAAATGACTCAAAACACTCGATGCCACTCCAAAAGATCGGGTTAAGACTTTCTAAATAGCAACAGATGTTATGCACTAAAGGGAAGTAGATTGAAACCCCAAGCAAAATATTTACGTAACTAGAAGTCTGTAAGACGTTCTGTCAAAAGCTCTTGAGAAGTCTTCATAAATCTAAATAAACGTTTTGGAATGCAATAAGCCTGGCAAAAAGCGCATACCACATTCAGTGGAGCTACCTTTGACACGGCAGAATACTCGCGGAGAACAGCATTTCTGCTTCGACAAATATTAAAAAAAAAGTAGATACTGTTGATAGTTTTGAATTTGAAAACATCCGAAGATAAGGGCATGTTTAAAATTAGCGGTTTATTGGTTTAATTAAAGAGGATATTTTTTTAAACAAATGGCTGAAATGCAATCCATGTGCCCAAGCTTAAAGTACTTTAAACCTTCCATATCTCTCAAAACATTATCTTCAGTTGAAACGAGCGATCCGAAAGGTAAAAAAGATTCGGGGATAGAAAAGCAGTAGTGTTTTACAACTCAGTCTGAAACAAGGCTTAACGGAAGAAAACTCAGCGAAGATATTAGCAGTATCTTAAGAAGTATTAGCATGTCTGTCGATATAAAGGACGGAAGAAGAGCGCCTTGGGGGTACTTTTGATACAGACTTCACACTCATAATTGTGAATATAGAAAATAAAAAAATCACCAGAATCATAAGAATCAAAATCATAATTATATTAATTATAGATTTGAATAAAAAATAATTATATTAACTTTCCTGTTTCCCGTCACACCCTCCCCCGGCGGGAATGTCAAACCCACCGATTGTATTTTTGATATGAAATAAAAGCTCCTTGTTAAAATCAGCCGTTCAGACGAGGCTTAGCATAAACTGTAGACAGATTTGTTGGAAAAGCATCCAGACGCACACCACAAATCCGAGGAGAAGGAACTGGGCTTAATATTATCCTACATACTGAAAAATAATATGATGTGCGAATTTTCACTTTTTATATATTTCCTTGGAGAAGAGCGAATTTATCTATCCCTTTACTTTTATTTACATTATATCCATGGCTCCCAAATATATCTAATAAATCATAAATGATGGGTGTGAGAGGAAAATATTAAGAGTTTACGACTTTGAGAGAACTTCCTGAACTTGAGGATGTAGGAAAAAAATTCTAGATTTGCATGAAATGATATCTGTGGATATTCATAGCGTTTAATTGGATGTTCTGCACATCTTGTGCTTTGAAAAATTGTATTAAGCCCACAACTTTCAGTGAATGTAAATCAAACTTAAGCCAAAACCTCACAAAGATTTTTAAGTTGCTGCATTATTTATGTGTTCGCATTTATAAGCAAACTCGAAACGAAAATAAACAAATCATGCCACTGATGGCAAGAAAAATATCCCAACAATTTGTCTGCCATTTTGTTGGCCGATTGCTGAGTTAAGAGCTTTTTCCGAGGGTACGCCGAAGCTTTTGATTAGGGAAATTTGCTTCGTAAGTGTTCGATAATTTTGTTGGCTTAATATTCTTCACCGCAAAGATACACCTAACATATATACATATGTGTATGTCTCAAATAAAGACATGAGATTGAATTGAGTTACAGGCAAAGATTGCGGTAAATCTGTGTAATCCACTTAATCATCATCATCAACATTTGTTGCAGAAATGACTTGGCATTAAAAATGTATCTTCGGCTAACATTCGAGTGAATGCTGACGCTACTTAACTTTTTGGCAAAGATATCGGATAACAAATCAGCAATTTTTCCAGGACGTTCAATATTTACTTTTAGGTTTGGGGAAGCTAACAAATGTGAGACTTAATTAGAAAATGAGTTAAAATTCGAAGAATGTTTGTAGTTGAGAATGGGGTTAAAGTTAACTAAGAGTTAAGGTTAAATTTAAAGTCAATGCTAAGGTTACGGTTACGGTTACGGTTACGGATAAGGTTAAAGTTAGGGTTAAGGTTAAAATTATATAAAATGTTCAAATTGTCGTTGATGTTAAGGTTAAGATTATGGTTACGGATAAGGTTAAAGTTACGTTTACGGTTACGATTATAGTTGTGGTTAAGGTTAAGATAAAAATTAAATTAAGACTTTAAGTTGATCTTGAGATTAATGTTTAAGTCAAGTTTAATTTTAGGGTTGAGGTTAAGGTTAAGTTTAAGGTAAAGGTAAGGTTCAGCCTTCTAACGAGATTACGGCAAACATTAGAAAAAAAGGTGTAATTTAAGTTTAAGTTTAAAGTAATCGTTATTATTAAGGTTAAAGTTATGTGGGAGTTGATATTAATTTTTGACTCTATAAAATTCTGCAATCGTACCTTGAAAAAAATCTATTAATAGTTCGTCTATGAATACGGGGATTGATAATTAATAAGAAAAAAACTCACCTTCTGAAGTCTCTGCTCCAACATGCGTATATGACCGGGTTCATGCACGAATTAATCCAGCCCAACCACGTCACCACCGCCGAAACTATCTCCTCATGCTCTATACACTCCACACAGAAACCGGATAGTAGGTTTACTACAAAGAACGGTAGCCAGCACACGATAAATACACCCATTACAATGCCCAGCGTTTTGGCCGCTTTCTTTTCTTTGGCGAATTTCGCCAACTTTCGCGACAACGAAAAATTCTTTCCCATATGCCTATGCCGGGCCAGACCATTGTTGTGCAACGCCGACAGCGGCTCGTCATCGGGTTCTTCGGGCGTCGATGTCGTCGTGCCCGATGCGCTGTGATTATGATGATGATGTGAGTGGTGTCGGTGATGTTGTGAGCCATCGCCAACGCCACTCGGCGCGCCACCCAACGAGCCATGTATGGTTGGATGATGTGACGTGCTTGTCGAAGGTTCACGCGTTGTGCCACCACGATGTATTCGCAATGTAAGTTGCAGTTCACCCGAAGCCATAAGCACTTGCTTCGTGCCGATCTTGAGGGAACGTGTTTGTATAACTGCCGCACGATAAATGCGACAATATGTGAAGACCATAACTAAGAGTGGCAGGTAAAATGAGATCGTCGATGAAAATACCAAATAACCCAGATGCTCCGTAAAGATGCACTTATATGCGGGCATTTCGCCATCACGCGCAGCACGCCACCACACAATCGCCGGAAAACTGATGGCACTCGAACATACCCATACCGCGCAGATAAGCATTACGGCACGTCTTATCGTCATGCGCATTGGATAGGAAAATGGATCCGTGATGGCCCAGTAACGATCCAATGATATCACACATAAATTCAGTATGGACGCCGTACTGAAAAGCACATCCAGAGAGCGCCAGATGTCGCAGAAGTCGGTGCCAAAAAACCATGTATTTTCGAGCACTTCGTACAACGCCGACAACGGCATCACAACCAAACCAACTAGACAATCGGCTACGGCTAGACTTGTGATGAAGTAATTAGTAGCGGTATGCAGATAACGTTCTCGCACAACAGCCGCTATGACGAGCGCATTACCGAAAACTGTGGCGAAGGAGAAAAGGAAGAGAAATGAAAGTAGCGATATGCGCTCATTCGGCAGCAAACTGAGAAACTCGAAGAAACCCGGCTCGCGTGTGCTATTCGTAATTTGTACGTATGATGTGAGCGAGAAATTCGTCGCCGTGCCTATGCTGCTACCAAGCGTGTTAGTTATACTCTCCGCGCTGCTGCTTGTGGTCAGCAAAGCGCCTTGCTGTTGCTCTGTGCTATCCAGGAAGCCATTGAAATAGTCGAAGATATCGTCCGAAATATTAAAACTCGTATAGAACGGAGGTGGCGGCTCACCCTGCAATTCCGTCGCCGTCGTCGTCGTATGATTGGCTGCGCGGGCATTTGTTTCCTGATATGAGTACGCTGATGGCGCAGAGAGTTCTTGTATCGATGGCTCTAACTCAGGTGCGACCAGCGAGAACTCAGACAACTCATCAGGTGTATACTCAAAGTAGTAGAGAGAGTTATTCGTGTTGGTGGCAAATTGTTCAGCTGATGTGTAGACGACACGACTGCCGTTCGACGTATTTGGAAGTTTGTTGTTGTAATCGCTTGTGCCATTGCTGCTGCTGCTGATGTTACGGATGGTAGTGCTGTTCGTACTACCGATGCTGCTTGCGACACCTTGACGACTCGCATTTCTTGTCAAACCCATTGGCGTACGACACTTGAGCCGAGCGGATGTTGTAGCCTTAAATTGGACGAGTATGCTCGGAGCGTGTAAGCACACTTACATATCACAGTTGTTTACAAGACTCTAACTGGATTTACCGCGCTGCCAGCACCGCTAAGTCGAACCAGCAGAACACTCCGCCGAACCTTGCCAACATTGTGGCTACTTGTGGAAACCTGAAAAGATAGGATGGGAAAGAGAAAGGCGTATTATAGAAATGGCTTGTAAAGAGTATGCATTTAATACAATCTCGTTGTGTTTAATTGCCTAATTCAATTTAATTGTGTGAAATCTTAAATGCATCCCTTTTGTGTCGTGCTTCCTGCCTTCTACTTTTCAAAGCTTTCAATCAGCCTGTTAGCCGACAGCTAATTAATCAGACTGTTTCAAAGAAGAGGAAGCATTTGGCAAATGCTGGCGAGCATGTTTCGTTGTCACTCCCTTTGTCTCTCTCTCGCTCTTCGTCACTCTATATCACTACGCGAAATATACTCACATCCATTTTATAAATAAATAAGTAAGTAAACTAAACAAATTAAATTAAAGCAAACAGGATATTTTGTGCCTGCCGGTCGGTTGGTCACTCAGCCAGTGAGTTCCTTTGCCCCACGCCAGCACAACTCATCTCCGCATCACTCACTAATCTGCCACTCGAGCGCACTTCACAAAATGGCTCACAATTTTAGAGCGCCGTCGACGGCCTTTCACTCTTTCTCACTTACCTCTCAGCAGCCTGAGCCTTGACGTCAGAGTTGACAGCAGATTGAGCTGTGTGCAGGTAATATAGTAATTTATTGTAATGTAGCCATGCAATAGCAACAATTTAGGTTAATGTCAGCGTTGACAAATGTGCAAATTATTGTTGGTTCTCCGTTGGGTATGAGGATGAGGCGAAATGCCCGCTGTGCTTCCTAAAAGGTTTGCTGGCTACAAAAAGCCAACGCAAAGCCTAATTGCCAACTTCCTACGCTGGTACTTTCATTTTGTAAATAAATTGCTTTCATATTTCATATTTTGCAGGTAAAATTATTTGTCATAAAAATGTACACGCAACATAAATCTTGCGAATACGCAACAGCGAGGTTGAGGGAAAATTTGTTGAGCCATTCAAGAAGAGCTTTCGACGAAATTAGTAAACTGAGACTGAGATAGAAAGTAAACGGCTTTTGGAAATTACTTTTAGAATGTTTTGTAAGATCTGCAGCAGTGGGGGGATGGGTATATATGAAATTTTAAATAAGAAAACTCAAACGACGAAGTTGTATTGCGATGACTGCAAGCTTTGTGAAGATTAAATGTTGAATTATATTTGTAAAGGGGTTGCTTAAATAAAATTAGAGATATTTGAAAAAAGTTGCCACCTATTTGAAAAAATTTAATTATGTATATATATAAAAATTCTTAGCTCTAATACGACATTTCAGCTGATCACAATATATGTTGATAGTCAGGCTGCCATTAAATTTCTTCACTGTAATCACATCCCTTCAAAGGTGGCAATAAGGTGTAGGAAAACCATAAACAGATTCTCGGCTGTTTGGGAATTGACGGTGATTTGCGTTCCCGGTCTTAATGACCTCCCAGAAAATAGCTAGCAAGAAGGTATACAACTCTGACCATGATAACCTTCCTTTTGGGAAAATACCTGCGAAGATCGGCCTTCAGCAGCAAGGCCAATAGCAGTTGGCTATGCAATGTGACCATGCAGATCTGGCCATTGACGTATGAAAAAAGAACTAAATCTCTAATCCCTCCAACAAGAAGCTTCATGAGCATAGAACCCGCATAATTACTGGATTCTATTTGCCGGGGACTCATGGTAGAAGAATGGGCTAATGATTTCCGTCGTGGCTGCAGAGATATAGACGAGGAGGAGGCAGTGGAACATTACCTTATGACGGCACGTGACTAGAATATTTTCGAAGGTGCCACTGTGCAGCTCGTCGATGTCTTCGTCAAGAAACTGTTTGGCTGTGACAAGAACACAGTATGTCCTTACGATATGTACAAAAATACTATTCCATTGAACTTGTGGTGGGGTTTATCGTTTACTCCAGTGCACGATTTGTTTGCTTTATTTCACACTGATGCGATATTTTTTATTTATTATTATTTTGAAAATAGTGTTGTACTTTCTAAGGGTTGCGCAATATCGGTAAAAACCCTTGTATCTGTATCCTCCTCGCGGTTTTGCCAGGACGACGTCAAGCGTAGGTCTTGTGCGAGGTGTCACAATTAAGTAATGAGACTTATTCTGTAAAAACCGTATATTTCAAAACTATTTTACAACTCTACCATCCTCTTCAAAGTAGTCCCCCTGGAACGCTTGGACTGGGATGGCCGTAAATACCCTCGTCACGGCCGCCTGGATGTACTCAGTCGACTCAAAATGAGTTCCTTTGACAACCAATTTTGTTCTAGGGTACGAAAAGAGTCAGCGGGTGGCATATCGGGCGATTAAGGCGGTTGTGGCAACTCGGCGATCCCTTTAGAGGCCAAATACTGGGACACGCTGAGGACGGTGTGGCACGGTGCGTTGTCGCGCACAACTTACTTATCTCAAAATCGTCGGCTAAAACGGTTTCAAGGTTCATACCCAGCACCGCCGCCAACATTCGAACTGTTTAACATCGATCTGCGCGAATTAGAGTACGTACACGATGCCCATTCGTGTCAGTCCCCACCTCTGCTGGTCTCCCGCTCCGCGCCTCGTCTTCCACGCTATCACGCCACTTCTTAAACTTTTTATGCCATAGAAAGACATGGGCACGACTAAGAGCCTCATCACCTCGTACTTTTAAATTTTTAGCATACGTTTTCGAAGCTGTTTCGTTTATGACCAAGACCAAAGATTCCCAGTAAGCGATGTATGCCTATTTCTAGTGCGTTTCCCAAGACAGCAGTCTAAGTCAATGAGCGACATAGCTGAAAAAACGACTGAAGGAAGGAAGAGGAAGAGATTTTGGGTTGGACTAAGGGGAAAATGGAAGTAGGTCGATTACACTATCCGTTACGCAGCTAAAGCTGGGACTCGAGCACGCCAAGTTTCGACAAGACGCTCCTCTCTAAATGGCTCCAAAATCAAAAACAATGGATTTAGCCCATCAGTTTCTCAAACTCAATAAACTCAGCTACCTAAAATAGATCTCACACATTTTGAAGCTTTTCTTTAAACATCTGTTATGCCATATTTGCTTGACAATTAACAGTGTCGTCATGGCAATTTTCATTTCTCTATTTGCACCGCCAACATTTACTCCTCCATTTGCAATCAGCTTAAATGCTTACGATTGCATTATTAGTCACTTGTGACTTGCGTGGTATCATACATATGTATTTTATATATGTAAATATGTATGTGTGCGTGCATACATATATGTATATAGTGCAGTCACTTAATTAGCAAAACGTGCGAGGAACACACAACAAAGTCACGGCACATCACACTACAGCACAACACAACCGAAGGCATAACCACAAATTCGCTTTGCATAGCGTAGGAAATTAATATATTTACAATGGTACATATATGTATACACTTATTATACATATGTACATTTGTATCAACGTGTAGTATGTTAATTTGAATTGTGCAGTGTAAGATATTATTTATGCAACATCTCGTTTGTGTAAATGTTTGTTCATCTGTATGTACGTGTATGTACGTGTGCAAGTGTTTGCTAACAAACCGCCCAACATTAACTGTGTTGCATGCCACATGCAATGCGTTCAATGTAAATTTAGTGCACTATTTAAGACTGTAAAATACCTAAATTTAGGTAAATATTTGCTATAACTGCCAGTGATGCTTACAAATGTGGTTTTGCTGTGGTTAAGCTTTTAAGTGAGGAACTCGCAGCGCTGGAATTATTGCATTCCGTAAGCAAATACTGATTAACTATTATTTGCGGCATGCCCATGCATACGTACAGTCATTTATATCTTTAAAGGTTAAGATTCTTAGAATCGAAACGAATCGAATCGAGAATAGAAACGATGCTATTTTTTTTTTGCGCACAGCGTACCTTTGGGTTCTAGAAATGATATGAAATTGGTTTTAAAGTAAAATAAATATTTCAAATAGCTGAACTATTTATTTATAAAACTTTAAAACCGTTTTGCTCAAAATCACGCTTTTCAAACTGGGAGGGCAGATTATTTGGACCCTATTGCATCGATTTATCTGAAATTTTTATGGTAGCTTCACAAATAAATTATTTTTCGGAAGTACATAGCCGTTTTTCGAAATTGACAAAAGTGGTGCTCACGGTATAAAAGTGGCAATTTCAACTTAGACGACAGAGAACGACCCGGACAGCCAAACCTATTTCAAGACGCAGAATTGGAGACATTGCTCGACGCAGAGGCCTGCCAGACGCAAGAAGAACTTGCAAAAGTAGTTGATCAAGCAACCATTTCCAGACGATTAAAATCATTTTTTCACAATAAAGTCTTAATTTTCGAAAAAAAAACCGCCCGAATAATGCATACATCCAATAATTTAGTGCGTATTTTTAGTCAAAAATCAATCTTTAAAAAAAAAAAAATGTGTCGCTTTCACATAAATGAGTTAAAAAATAAATCCATCCGTACTCCAAATTCATAGTTTGTAGTTAAAACTTTTTGCTTTTCTGTTCTAGATCGCATCCCTTAGAGAAAATCGGTTCTTCCGTGGACGCCTTCCAAAAAGCGTGGATTAAATAATGGACTTTATCACCGCCATTTTATAACAAAATAGTAATTAAAGCATATTTCCTTAAACTTCAATATATGTTCAATGAAATGATTAAATATAAATTCCATTCCATTTCTTATATACTAAAATGAGTCTATTTTTTAACCTTTAGAGTGGCTATACCCCTTAAGTTTGATTAGTGAAAGTTTAAAATTTTTTTTTAAGCTCAACTCCATTTAAAGGAGTTTTTCTAATGTTGTTTTAAATTTTCGTTCAGACATTAATCGAATAAGTTAATTTGTTTGTTATTTAATGGGCGAAATTATTTTACTTTTTTTCGATATGGCATACTGTTTTCGAAAATTTCTGCTACTACTTTTTCCTTACAAAAATGAACGAAGAATTGAAAAAAAATCAAAATTTTTTGCAGCTTTTTAGAAGAAGAATGAACTTTGTTCCTATAAACTACTATTGTAATTCAGAATATATGCAGAATTCAGA